GCAGTTGTAACACAATGGTAAGTATGTATCTAAACATAAAAAGGGTACAGTAAAAATACGGTATTACAATGGGACCACCTTCCTATAGGCAGTCATCATTGACCAAAAGCTCATTGTGCAGTGCTTGACTGTATATGATGATATTTTCTCAAATCTCAGGGACAAAAATTAGCTTTTAATAAATGATTCTGGGGCAACTGGCTAGCCATTTAGGAAAATATAAAATTAGATTCATACTTCACACCTTGTACAAAAATAAATTACATATGAGTCAGAACTAAATATCAGTGAATCCATACAAGCACTAAAAGAAAACAAATGAATTCCTCTGAAACCTTAGAGGAGGTTTTAGAAATGCATTTGAACTGTAACTAAAAAACTAATTTCAGTGAAAGATAGACAAAGCTGAGTATGTAAAAAAAGTTTTAAATCCCAGTCTTGATAGCAAAAAACTGTAAACAAAGTTGAAAGACAACCAGTACGCTAGAAGAAACTCTGTGCAGCATGTATTTCAGAGTATGAATATTCTTTTAATTATTTTTATAAGATGGGGTTTCACCATGATGGTCAGGCTGGTCTTGAACTCCTGACCTCAGGTGATCCACCCACCTTGGCCTCCCAAAGTGCTAGGATTACAGGCGTGAGCCACCGCGCCCAGCCCCAGTATGAATATTCTTAATAAAGAGCTCTTAGGCTGGGGGCTTAATGACCAACACCGATAGAAAACTGGGCAGAAAACCACGAATAGAAAGCTTCACAAAAAACATATAAAATGGACCTTAAACATGTCAAAATATGTTCAACCTCATACATAATGCTAGACATACAAATTCAAATGACACGATTTTCTCATAGCTTGGCTAAAAATAAAAACCCTGAAAACTCCATTGGAAAGTCAGTGGGGAAGCAGGCACTCTTGCGCATTGCTGATAGGGGTCTCTGGTATTATTCAGGACCAAATTCGCATTTGCCCTTCAACCCGGCAGTCCCATTCCCAGCAATTTACTTGAAGATTACACTTTCCACCTTACGAAATTACAGATGTACGAGGTTACTACCATTACATTGTCATTGTAATGGTGAGATACTTTAACCTAAATGTAAATTTTAAAACAATGTGAGCCGCATGTAGGAGATTGGTTGAATAAATTGGTGCATCACGTAGTATATAGTACTGTGCGGAAGTGAGAAGGAATGAAGATCTGTATGAACTGATAGGAAGTGATTCCAAGGATATATTAAGTGAAAAAATTCAAAGTGCAAAAGAGTGTACTGTTACTTTCCATGTAAGATAAAAGGGTAAATTAAAAGATACAAATGCAAACACGTAAATAGTACATCAGGAAATAATGAGATTAACAGGGTGGGTGAGACTAGGGTGGAAGGGTTGGGGAAGGAACACTATTAATATTTTACATATTAAATAAAATCAAGACTGAGGAAAACCTTTAAAATGAAATACAAACAACCTGTTTTAAATGAATGACTTTTGAACTTGTATTTTGACTGTATACCTTTAAAGACGGAAATAGCTGTAAAAACATTCTAGTTAGTAGGTCTGTTTTTTTGTAGTTTGATAAGTTAGCAATTCTGAAACTTTTCTCTGTATTTGAGGATCCAATAAATAAGTACATTTTGAGGATAGTGTCAGCAAGATTTCTGCTGTTGGAGAAGGGAGTTGTGAATATGGCAAGAGAAGAATACCTAGAATGAACCCTATAGATGCATTGGAGTAGAATTAGAATTATCAGCATGAATGCATGATTTTTCATATAGCTGTACTTCGGACATTTTAGAAGAAGTCGTATATACCACTAAAAGGAACCCAGGCCTTTTGGAGAAATGGCTGATTGTGGGGCTGGGGCAGGAAAAAAACCAAGATGAACCAGAAAGTAAGATAATTCCAAAAGGTAAGGTAGTGCTCAAAGAATGATGGGGACACTTTAGAAGGACACAGGAACCCGTGTGAAGGAACTTTGGCAAATATAGGACAATTTGAACATAAAATGATGGTGAAAGATTCTAATCCATAGAATAAAACAAAAATCTGTAAGTTCATACTGATACCATATAATTAAATGGGAAAGACAAAGATTTGTCTTGCAGTAGATGCCAGCTAATAAATGGAGAAGGAAAAGTGGAATTGGAAAACTCGCCATTTGGGCTGCGCATGGTGGTTCACACTTATAATCCCAGCACTTTGGGAGGCTGAGGTGGGCAGATTGCTTGACCTCCGGAGTTTGGGACCAGCCTGGCCAACATGCTGAAACCCTGTCTATACTAAAAATATTGGCTGGGCGTGGTGGCTCATGCCTATAATCCCAGCACTTTGGGAGGCCAAGGCGGGTGGATCACGAGGTCAAGAGATCGAGACTATCCTGGTCAACAAGGTGAAACTCCGTCTCTACTAAAAATACAAAAATTAGCTGGGCATGGTGGTGCATGCCTATAGCCCCAGCTACTCGGGAGGCTGAGGCAGGAGAATTGCCTGAACCCAGGAGGCGGAGGTTGCGGTGAACCGAGATCATGCCATTGCACTCCAGCTTGGGTAACAAGAGCGAAACTCCGTCTCAACAACAACAACAACAAATATATATATATATATATATATATAAATTTGCCAGGTATGGTGGTGTGTACCTGTGATCCCAGCTTCTAGGGAGGCTAAGGTGGGAGGATTGCTTGAGCCTGGGAGGTAGAGGTTGCAGTGAGATGAGATTGTTCTACTGCACTCCCACTTGAGTGGCAGAGCAAGACCCTTTCTCAAAAAAAAAAACACTGGCAACTATCTTGACAGTAATGAGTTAGGCAAGAATCATTAATGGATGTTACATGCTAAACCTAGTGGATGAAGAACTAGATTAATGATTAAAGTTTGAAGAACAGGATTTCATGGAGTCTCAAAGTATTTCCCCACAAAATTCTTATTAAATTGGAGAAATAGTAATTTTACCAGGAAACCTGGCAGATACCACTATCAGTGGACAATGAACAAATGGACAGATCAATACCTTGTGCCTCTTGATGAGAATGTTTCTTCTGTGATATTCCTGCAGAAAGACTTAGCTCAAAATTAAACATGAAATACCAAAGGAACCCAAATAAAAGGCATGCTTTACAAATTAATCAGTCTGTTGTCTTCAAAGATGTCATGATTATGAAAGACAGAGATGGAGAGGGGAAAGGTAAAGGAGCCTAAGGAGACATGACCACTAAAAGCGCCTTGTGATCCTGGCTCAGGTTCTGGACCAGAATTGTGTTGTTTGTGCTGCTATAAAGGATGCTATTGGAACAATTGGCAAACTTGAACAATGTTATATACTAAGAAATAGTGGCCGAGCATGGTGGCTGACGCCTACAATCCCACCACTTTGGGAGGCCAAGGTGGGCAGATCAAGAGATCAAGACCATCCTGGCCAACATGGTGAAATCCTATGTCTACTAAAAATACAAAAAAAATTATCTGGGCACAGTAGCATGCATCTGTAATCCCAGGTACTCGGGAGGCTGAGGAAGGAGAATCACTTGAACCCGGGTGGGGCAGAGGTTGCAGTGAGCCTAGATCGCACCACTGCACTCCAGCCTGGGCGACTAAGCGAGACTGTCTTGGAAAAAAAAAAAAATAGTGTTGTGAGCTGGGCATGGTGGCTTGTAGTCGTGGCACTTTGGGAGGCTGAGGCGGGTGAATTGCTTGAGCCCAGGAGTTTGAGACCAACCTGGGCAACATAGCAAGACCCTGTCTCTATAAAAAATACAAAAATTAACTGGCCATGATGGCATGTACCTGTAGTCCTAGCTACTTGGAAGGCTGAGGTGGGCGGATTGCTTGAACCCTGGTAATCAAGGCTGCAATGAGCTGTGATCATGCTACTGCTCTCCAGCCTGGGTCACAGAGCAAAACCCTGTCTCAAAAAGTATCGTGGTAATGTTTATTTCTTGATAATATCACTGCAGTTATAAAAAGGAGTGTTCTTGTGGGTTTATATGTAGAAAAGAGAGAGTGAGGGTCAGGCACAATGGCTCATGCCTGTAATCGCAGTACTTTGGGAGACCAAGGCAGGAGGATTGCTCGAGCCCAGGAGTTTGAGACCAGTCTAGGCAACATAGCGAGACCTCATCTTTACTAAAAATTTAAAAATTAGCTGACCATGGTGGTGCACAGCTGTGGTCCTAGCTACTTGGGAGGCTGAGTTGGGAAGACCTTGAGCCCAGGAGATCACGGCTGCAGTGAGCCATGATTACACCACTGCATTCTAGCCTGTGTGACAGAGGGAGACCCTGTCTCAAAAAAAGCAAAATTGTTTATGTGGTAAAATACTAATAAATGAATTGGGGTGAAGGGTATATGAATGGTTTTTGTACTGTTCTTGAGTTTTTTTTTTTTTTTTTTTTTTTTAAAAGACAGAGTCTCCCTCCATTGCCCAGGCTGGAGTGCAGTGGTACGATCTCAGCTCACTGCAACCTCTGCCTCCTAGTCCAAGTGATTCTTCAGCCTCAGCCTCCCTAGTAGCTGGGATTGCAGACACCTGCCACTACACCAGGCTAATTTTTTTGTATTTTTAGTAGAGACGGGGTTTTGCCACATTGGCCAGACTGGTCTTGAACTCCTGGCCTCAGGTGATCCAGCCAGCTCAACTTCCCAAAGTGCTGGGATTGCAGATGTGAGCCACCGGCCTGATCTGACACTTTTGTTTAGGTTGGAAATAATTTCAAAGTGAAAAGATAAAGTTGTCATAAAAAATTCGAAATTCAAATAGAACTTTTAAAACAAACTTAATTGGCGTGTCTATCTTTGCAGCATTTGAGGTTTTCTGCATCATTTCTCCCCAGCAGGGAGGAGGTGCTGCCTTTGCCTATTGTCCTGCTTTTTTGGAGAACCTGTGATAGAGCTGGAGCTGTCTACCTCTACCTCTGTAATTCTGTAATAGAAATGTCATTCTGTAGTGTTGGTACATCTTGTCTTTATCATTTTTAGCTCAGAAGTAAATTTATTCCTGCAGGTTGTTGATGAGCGTGAATTTTTTGAGATCATGCCCACTTATGCCAAGAACATCGTTGTTGGTTTTGCAAGAATGAAAGGAAGGACTGTTGGAATTGTTGGCAACCAACCTAAGGTGGCCTCAGGTAGGATGAAGAAGCTTTTATAAGCCTTGGTTGTGGGGTTGGAGGCCAGGGAAGCCTGGGTTCACGATGTCTGTCTGCCTTTTGCCTGTTCTTCAGACATTGCCTTCTATTTTTTTTTTTTTGAGACAGGATCTTACTCTGTTGTCCAGACTGGAGTGCAGTGGTACAATGACAGCTCACTGCAACCTCCCCCTCCCAGGCTCAAGCTCTGGGTAGTATTGACACCTTAACAATATTGTCTTCCAGTCCACGAACACAGAATGTCTTTCCATTTTTCTTCTTTTTTTATTTCTTCCTGCAATGTTTTGTAATTTTCAGTGTCCAAGTCTGTCACCTCTTTAGTTAAATTTCTTCCTAAATGTTTTATTATTTTAGATGTTATTGTATATGGAATTGCTCTCTCAATTTCTTTTTTGGATTGTTCATTCATGAAAGCACACGTACAAAACTGGTTTTTATTGATCTTGTAACTTGCAACTTTGCTGGGTTTGTTTATTAGCTTTGTTAGCTTTTGTTTTAAAATTTATATTGCTGCATTTTGTTTGGTTGTTCGTCTGTGGACACAGGTTATTTCCATCTTTTAGCTATTGTGAATAATGCTGCTGAATATTGTGAATATTATGAACATTGATGAATTTGTTCATTAGCCCTCTTGTGGATTTGCTGGGATTGTCTATATACAGGATCATGTTTTCTGCAAATAGAGATAGTTTTACTTCTTCCTTTTCAATTTGGATGTCTTTTATTTTTCTTGTCTAATTGCTCTGGTAAGAATTTCTTATACAGTGAATTGCAGTGGTGAAAGTGGGCATGCTTCTTTTGTTGCTCATGTTAAGGTAGGAAAACCTAATCTTTCACCACTGTATGATGTTAGCTGTGGGTTTTTCATGAATGCCCTTTATAATATGGAGGAAGTTTCCATCCATTCTTGATTTTCTTTGTTTTTTCATGAAAGGATGTTGGATTTTGTCAAATACCTTTTTTGTTTCAGTTGAGATGATCGTGTGGTTTTTGTTCCTCCCTTTGTTAATGTAGTGTATTATGCTGATTTTCTTATGTTGAACCACCTTTGCATTCCTGGGATAAATCCCACTGGGTCATAGTGTTTAATCCCTTATAAAAAATAGACTTACAGAACAGTTATAGGTTCACAGCAAAACTGAATGGAGAGTAGATAGAATTCCTGTTCACCTTCTGCTCCCAAATGCATAGCCTTCATATGACCAAAGTCCTGCGTGAGAGCAGTATATTTGTTCAAATTAATGAACCTTCATTGATACATCATTATCAACCTAAGTCTAGTTTACATTAGGGTTTATTCCTGGTATTGTAAATCCTATAGGTTTGACAAATGTATAATGACATGTATCCACCATTATCATATCATACAAAATAGATTCACTGCCCTAAAAATACACCGTCCTCTGCCTGTACATCCTTGCCCCAGCCTCACCTTCTGGTGACCACTGGTTGTTTTATTGTTGTTAGTGTTGCCTTTTCAAGAATATTACGTAGTTGGAGTCATCCGGTATGTAGCCTTTTCAGATTGGTGTCTTTCAATTACATTTGAAAGTAAAGTACATTTAAGGTTCTTCCATGTCTTTTCATGGCTTGTTAGCTCATTTCTTTTTAGTTCTGAATAATATTCATGTTTATCCATTCACCCACTGAAGGATATCTTAATTGCTTCCAAGTTTTGGCATTGCAATAAAGCTGCTATAAACATCCATGTGCAGGTTTTTGTGTGAATGTAAGTTCTTACCGCATTTGGAGAAATACCAAGTAGCATGATAGCTAGATTGTTTGGTAAGAATGTGTATAGTTTTTTTCTTTCACAGTAGCTGTACTAGTTTGCATTCCCACCAGCAATGAATGAGAGTTCTCATTGTTTCACATCCTCCCCAGCATTTGGTGTTATCGGTGTTCCAGATTTTGGCTACTCTAATGGATGTATAGTGATACCTAGTTCTAATTCGCAGTTTCCTAATGACATATGATGTTGAGCATCTTTTCTTTTTTTTTTTTTTTTTTGAGACAGTCTCGCCCTGTCTCCCAGGCTGGAGTGTGTGGTGCTATCTCAGCTCACTGCAACTTCTGCTTCCTGGGTTCAGGCAGTTCTCCTGCCTCAGCCTTCCAAGTAGTTGGGACTACAGGCACATGCCACCATGCCCAGCTAATTTTTTGTATTTTCAGTAGAGACAGGGGTTCACCATGTCAGCCAGGATGGTCTTGATCTTCTGACTTTGTGATCTGCCCACCTTGGCCTCCCAAAGTGCTGGGATACCAGCGTGAGCCACCATGCCTGGTCATATCTTTTCATACATGAATTTGCCTTTTGTATATCTTTTTTGATAAAGTATCTGTTCAGATCTTTTCCCTGTTTTAAATTGGGTTGTTTTCTTATTGTTGAGTTTTAAGAGTTCTTTGTATATTTGAGTAACAGGCCTTTTTCAGATATGTTGTTTGCAAGACTTTTCTCAATCTGGGGTGTCTTCTCTTGACAGTGTATTTGTCAGAGTGAAATTTTTAATGAAGTCTAGCTCATCAGTGATTTCTTTCATGGATCATGCTTTTGATATTGTAACTTTTTTTATTTTTTTGAGACAGTCTCTCTCTGTCACCCAGGCTGGAGTGCAGAGATGCAATCTTGGTTCACTGTAGCCTCTGCCTCCCTGGTTCAAGTGATACTCATGCCTCAGCCTCCCAAGTAACTGGGACTACAGGTGTGTGCCACCATGCCTGGCTAATTTTTTGTATTTTTAGTAGAGACAAGATTTCACTGTAATAGCCAGGGTGGTCTTTAACTCCTGGCCTCAAGTAATCTGCTCACCTCAGCCTCCCAAAGTGCTGGGATAACAGGCTAGAGCCACTGTGCCCAGCCTGTTGTATTTGTTTCTTAAAAGCCACTGGCATTCTCAAAGGCTTCTAGATTTTCTCCTGTGTTACTGTCTAGAAGTTTTATGGTTTTGTGTCTTAAATTTAGGTTTCTGATCCACTTTGACTTAGTTTTTGTGGAGGGTATAATGTCCATATCTAGATTTTTTTATTTAATTATTTTTATTTTGCATGTGGATGTTGTTTCAGCATTATTTGTTGAAAAGACTGTCTTTGTTCCATTATATTGCCTTTGTTCTTCCCTCCTCCCCCTGGACTCCCCCTGAGATGGAGTCCTGCTTACTGCCCAGGCTGGAGTGCAGTGGTGCGATCTTGGCTCACTGCAACCACCGTCTCCCCGGGTTCGAGCAACTCTCTGGTCTCAGTCTCCTGAGTAGCTGGGATTACAGGCACCCACCATCATTCCCGGCTAATTTTTGTATTGTTAGTAGAGATGGGGTTTTACCATGTTGGCCAGGATAGTCTTGAACTCCAGACCTCAAATGGTCCGCCTGCATTGGCCTCCCAAAGTGCTGGGATTATTGGCATTGCACCTAGCTCACTTTGCCTTTTTTTTTTTTTTTTAAATCAAACATCAGTTCACTGTGTTTATGTGGGTTCGTGTCTAGATTCTCCATTCTGTTCTGTCGATCTGTTCTTTTGCCAATATCACAGTGTCTTGATTACTGTAGCACAGTAAGCCTTGAAGTTAGGTCGTATCAGTCTTCTGACTTTTTTTTCCTCCTTCAATATAGTGTTGGCTTTTCTGGATCTTTTGCCTTTCCATATAAACTTTAGATGTATTTCATTGATACTCACAAAATAACTTGCTAGGATTTTGATTGGAATTGTGTTGAATTTATTTATTTATTTAATTTATTTTTGAGACAGTTGCCCAGGCTAGAGTACAGTGGTGCGGTCTTGGCTCACTGCAACCTCTGCCTCTTGGTTCAGGTGATTCACCCGTCATTACAGGTACCTGCTATCATACCCGGCTAATTTTTGTATTTTTGTAGAGACGGGGTTTCATCATGTTGGCCAGGCTGGTCTTGAACTCCTGAACTCAGGTGATCTACCCTCCTCAGCCTTCCAAAATACTGGGATTAAAGGCGTGAGCCACCATGCGTGGCCGGAATTGTATTGAATTTATAGATCACCTTGGAAAGAACTGACATCTTGACAGTGCAGGTACTCCTCAGTTTGTGATGGGGTATGTTCTGAGAAACTTGCTCGAAGTTGACAATATCATAAATGAAAAGTGCATTTAATACTCCAGTAAACCCATCATGGAGTTGAAAAATTGTAAGTCAAACCTAACCCTAAGTTGGGGACCGTCTGTGTTGAGTCTTCCTATCCTCGAACATGGATTCTCTGTTTAGTTGTTGTCTTCCCTTTTTATTGAGGTATAACTGACAAATAAAAATTGTGTCTAAGGTGTACAGTGGGATTATTTGATATACATATAATTTAACAAGTTAACAGATTCATCACCTCACATAGTTACTTTTTCATTGTGACAAAAACACTTAAAATCTACTCTCAGCAAATTTCTAGTATATAATCAGTATTATTAACTATAGTCACCTTGGTGTAAGAGTCTCAGGACTTAATCATTTTCTAACTGAAAATTTGTACTCTCTGACCAATAGCTTTCTTTTTCTTTTTGAAACTGAGTCTCACCTTGTCATCCAGGCTGAAGTGCAGTGGCGTGATCTCTGCTCACTGCAGCCTCCGCCTCCTGGGTTTAAGTGATTCTTGTGCCTCAGTGTCTCGAGTAGCTAGGACTACAGGCGCGTGCCACCACACATGGCTAATTTTTTGTATTTTTAGTAGAAATGGGGTTTCTTCATGTTGGCCAGGCTGCTCTCAAACTCCTGACCTCAGGTGATCCACCCATCTTGGCCTCCCAAAATGCTGGAGTGAGCCACCATGCCCGGCCTGACCAGTATCTTTCCATTCTCCCCACTCCAAAGCCCTTGGCAAATACTGTTTTACACTCTATTTCTATAAATATGACTTATTTAGATTCCACAGTATGAGCTTGTAACAGTATTTATCTTTCTATGGCTGACTTATTTTACTTGGCTTAATGTTCCTCAAATTCATCTTTTTTGTTTTTTGTTGTTTTTTTTTTTTTTTTTTTTGCAAATAGTAGTATTTCCTTCTTCTTTCTTTTTGTTTTTAAGATGGGATTTCACCATGTTGATCAGGCTGGTCTTGAACTACTGACCTCAGGTGATCCTCTTCCCTCGGCCTCTCAGAGTGCTGGGATTACAGGCATGAGCCACTGTGCCTGGCCTTTTTTCTTTCTTTCTTTCTTTTTGAGATAGAGTCTTGCTCTGTTGCCCAGGCTGGAGTACAGTGGTGTGATCATGGCTCACTGCAGCCTTGATCTACCTTCTGGGCTCAAGCAACCCTTTCGAGCAGCTGGGACTACAGGCATGCACCACCATGCCCAACTAATTTTTTGTATTTTTGGTAGAAATGGGGTCTTACACTGTTGCCCAGGCTGGTCTCGAATTCCTGGGCTCAAGCAGTCCTCCTGCCTTGGCCTCTCAAAGTCTGGAATTACAGACGTGAGTCACCATGTCTGGCTCCCTATTTTTTATGGTTGAATAACATTACATTGTATGTGTGACTGTGATGTTTTCTTTATCCATTCGTTTATCGTTAGGTACTTAGATTGTTTCCATACCTTGGCTATTGTGAATAATGTTGCAGTGAGCATGGGGGTGCAGACATTTCCTTGAGGTACTGACTTCAGTTTCTCTGGGTATCTGTACCCACAGTGGAATTGTTAGATCATAATGGTAGTTCTCTTTCAATTTCTGGAGGAGCCTTCATTCTGTTTTCCTTGATGGCGGTACCAGTTTTATCTAGTTACTTTTACATTTCTTTTCTTTCTTTTAAAGACAGGATCTTGCTCTATTGCCTAGGCTAGAATGCAGTGATACAGTTACAGCTCACTGCAACCTCAAACTCCTGGGCTCAAGTGATCCTCCCACTTCAGCCTCCTGAGCAGCTGGGACTACTCAGGTGTGCACCTCTATGCCTGGCTAATTTTATTTTTTATTTTTTGTAGAAACTAGGTCTCACTGTGTCGCTCAGGCTAGTCTTGAACTTCTGGCTTTAAGTAGCCCTCCTACCTCAGCCTCACAAAGCTCTGGGATTACAGGTATAAGCCACAGTGCCTGGCGTCTTTAGTTCTTTTTTCAGAATTTTATCATTTTCCAGCCAGATGCAGTGGCTCATGCCTATAATCCCAGCACTTTGGAAGACTGAGGCAGGTGAGTCACTTGAGGCCAGGAATTTGAGACTAGCCTGGCCAACATGGTGAAACCCCATCTTTACTAAAAATACAAAAATTAGCTGGGCTTGGTGGCACACGCCTGTTGTAGTCCCAGCTGCTGGCGAGGCTGAGGCACAAGAATCACTTGAACCTGGGAGGCAGAGGTTGCTGTGAGCTGAGATGGTGCCACAGTACTCCAGCCTGGGTAACAGAGCGAGACTCTGTCTCAAAAAAAAAAAAAAAAAAAATTACTGTTTTCTGGCCGGACATGGTGGCTTACACCTGTAATCCCGGCACTTCGGGAGGCCAAGGTAGGCAGATCAAGAGGTCAGGAGTTTGAGACCAGCCTGGCCAATATGGTGAAGCACCATCCTTAATAAAAATACAAAAAATAGCTGGGCGTGGTGGTGGGTCCCTGTAATCCCAGCTACTCGGGAGGCTGAGGCAGGAGAATCATTTGAACCCAGGAGGCGGAGGTTGCAGTGAGACGAGATGGTGAAACCAACATGATGAAACACTGTACTTACTAAAAATACAAAAATAGCTGGGTGTGGTGGCGGCTGCCTGTAATCCCAGCTACTTGGAAGGCTGAGGCAGGAGAATCATTTAAACCCAGGAGGAGGAGGTTGCAGTGAGCCGAGATTGTGCCATTGTACTCTAGCCTGGGTGACAGGTGAGACTCCATCTCAAAAAAAAAAAAGAAAAACATAATAATAATGTTAATAACTAAAAAATATATATGGATTAAATAAAAAGGCCAGGCTCAATGGCTTATGCCTGTAATCCCAGCACTTTGGGAGGCGGAGGTAGGCAGATCATCTGAGATCAGTAATTCAAGACCAGCCTGATCAACATGGAGAAACATTGCTAAAAATACAAAATTAGCTGTGCATGGTGGCTCATACCTGTAATCCCAGCTACTCGGGAGGCTGAGGCAGGAGAATTGCTTGAACCCGGGAGGTGGAGGTTGTGATGAACCGAGATTGTGCCATTGTACTCCAGCCTGGGCAACAAGAGCAAAACTCTGTCTCAAAAAAAAAAAGCATTACGGTTTTCCTCATATACATCTTGTATGTGTTTTGCGAGGTTTATACCTAAGTATTTTGGAGTTTTGGTTTTTTTGGGGTTAATGGTTGTATTAATCTGTTTTCACACTGCTATAAAGATACTACCTGAGACTGAGTATTCTATAAAGGTAAGAGGTTTAATAGACTCACAGTTCTATATGGCTGGGGAGGCCTTAGGAAACTTACCAGATGTTATAAAACAAATTCCCATTGTGGGTAGAACTGAAAATTGCCTGGATACTCAGTATGGATAATCTCTTTCTTTCTAGGATGCTTGGATATTAATTCATCTGTGAAAGGGGCTCGTTTTGTCAGATTCTGTGATGCATTCAATATTCCACTCATCACTTTTGTTGATGTCCCTGGCTTTCTACCTGGTAAGTCATTGACAGAGTAGGGGCTAGGAGAATTGACTTTGCCCAGTAAGGCACCCACTTTATTTGGAGATCTTGTGGAACTCCCTTAGGACTTGTGACTTCTCCATATATTCTGGGTGTCCAGAACATAGGGCTATGTAAGGAATGGCCCTCTCCAGAGGTGGGAAAAACCTCACAGCTGAGAGTGGCTGGTAAACTATGTGAGGACTTGTGTCTAGTAACTCTTCCTCATGCCCAGGCACAGCACAGGAATATGGCGGCATCATCCGGCATGGCGCCAAGCTTCTCTACGCATTTGCTGAGGCAACTGTGCCCAAAGTCACAGTCATCACCAGAAAGGTGAGGACCTCATGTTGGAGGCCATGACCCTGCTCACTTTCCTACAGCATCATCCTGGTGGGAGGTCTGGCTGAGTTTTACCAGGACTGGAAGGAGTACATCTTGTTCATCCTTAAAAAGATCTCTTGAGGACATTGTTCCCAATCCTGCAGAGATGTCTGTGGTTTTTTTTTTTTTTTGAGATGGAGTCTCACTCTTGTTACCCAGGCTGGAGTGCAATGGCGCGATCTTGGCTCATCGCAACCTCTGCCTCCTGGGTTCAGGCAATTCTCCTGCCTCAGCCTCCCGAGCAGCTGGGACTACAGGCACCCGCCACCATGCCCAGCTAACTTTTTGTATTTTTAGTAGAGACGGGATCTCACCATGTTGACCAGGATGGTCTCCATCTCTTGACCTCGTGATCCACCTGCCTCAGCCCCCCAAAGTGCTGGGATTACAGGCTTGAGCCACCGTGCCCGACCGTCTGTGGTCGTTTAACATAAGGGAACTAAAAGCAATGTGGGAAAAGGCCAGAAAAGATGATGAGTATTAACTTTGAAAGGCCTTCCAGACCGTGGGCCTTCAGGAGCCCAGGAGGGCCATTTTTGTTTTTTGTCCCCATTTTACCTGGCTTCCTGGGGTCTTTCAGGGACATGAGCTGGTTGTCTCAGGCTCTAACATTTGGCATTTGGATCCTTTTTAGGCCTATGGAGGTGCCTATGATGTCATGAGCTCTAAGCACCTTTGTGGTGACACCAACTATGCCTGGCCCACAGCAGAGATTGCAGTCATGGGAGCAAAGGTGAGGGCATCTAGCTTTTCCCTTTCTGGATCCAAGGACTGTACTCTCCTAGTACATGCTCAAGGCATGTTGGAGAGAGGCAGGGGCCCCTAGGTGAGCCAGGACTGAGGCGAGTGGGGCCTGGACCTTGGCAAGTCTCCTTCCTGGGGCTTCAGAGATGCCTTTGCCTCCCATCCTGTACCCTTTCTTCAGGCCCACACTGGTGTCTTCATGCCAAGGTGGGTGGGGCAGGTGAAAAGAAAATGAGAGGGTCCTGAATGGGTTTTGGGATTGTAAGTAAAGGGGGCAAAGGATTGAGTCAACTGAAGTCACCTCTAGGAGGAGTGGACATTCTCCCACTCCACCTCAGCTTCCAGGGAGGGCCCCAGAGCTACTCTTTGAAGCTTATAAGAAGCTGAACTGTAGGTCTGACCCTGGTGACGTTGGACAAGGTGCTTCATGTTGCTTGACCTATTCCTCACTCCTTCCCTGCTTTGAAGTAGCTACTGTGGTTGAATCAGATTAACTTGCAGGTCCCCTCAGAGCTGACTTATAGGTGCTCTGACTTGAAGGCCAATCCTTTTAATTTCCAGTTCACTCTGGCCACCGAATTGTATACTCAGGTCTCATGGTACTGAAAAAGAGAAATAATGCTTTAAATTCCCCTTGATATGAGACTGTGCATTTAATAATGGAAAACAGGGCTAACATCTTTGGCTCAAAGAAGCATGATGAGTACAAATGGAGATGGGAGAATGGGCTCTAGGGAGAGAAGCTACTGGCTTTTGCCTGACTGCCCCTGATAGAGGCCACAAGGAAGCATCCCATCCCATCATGCAGCCCCTTGTGTCCTGACGGCCCCAGGCAGTGCCTCTCTTTATGCTCTGGCCTTTAGAGCTGGCACTTCCCCCAAGTACACTGATTTACCAAGAAATTTGCAGCCACACACAGTGATAGTGGGTTGAAGGAGGTCTGTCCAGGTTGGGACCATCAGTGATTCATGAACTCCTCTGATCACAGGGTGCTGTGGAGATCATCTTCAAGGGGCATGAGAATGTGGAAGCTGCACAGGCAGAGTACATCGAGAAGTTTGCCAACCCTTTCCCTGCAGCAGTGAGAGGTGGGACCGAGGTGGAGAGGGCAGCTTTGTTTGTTTGTTTGGTCACTTGCTCATTCTTTCTCTACAGAAAGTGTCACATAACTGCCTTTTTGCCTTTGCAGTCTAATCTGTTGACTAATGAGGGTTGGAGCTGTCCCTGGGTAGTCATCACTTAGGACTAAGGACAGTGGGACAGGCTGCTTTTGTAACCACGATTTAAACAACATTGCCCAAGTGTATTAAATTTCTAGGTGGTGTTTCAGTTATCTAGTGCTGTGCAGAAATCCACCCTGTAACTCAGTGGCTTAAACTACCTACCATTTTCCCCTCTGCTTATGGCTCTGTGGGGTCCACAGTTTGGTCTGGGCCCAGCTTAGTGGTTCTTCTGCTGGTCTTGCCTGGGGTCACCCACACAGCTCTAGTCATTCTGGGGTTTGACAGTCCAGAATGGTCACTCACTTGGTAGTTTCTGTCTGTTAGCTAGACTCTCTCTCCACCTAGCCTCTCACCCTTGAGGAGGCTAGTCCAGGCTTCCTTACATGGTGTCACGAGAGTAGTAAGAGGGCAAAGGGAAGCGGAGGCTTAGGTTTGGAAGCTGCACAGTGTCAATTTTGCCACATTTTATTGGCCAAAGAAACTCACAAGGTTAAGTGAAGGAATACAAATTAACCTCTCGATGAGAGAAGTGGTAACGTCACGTCACGTTGCAGAACTGTGTACAAGGATAGGAGGAATTGTTGTAGCTGTTTTTGAAAATCTAGATGTGTTTTCTTAACTGTGTTTCCTATTGAATTAATTGTGGCAGGATAGAGGCATTGGAGCAAGCAGGGTACAGGGAACGTGTAGGAAAAAAAAATTTCCTTTTCTTGCCCAATGCTCTTAGGCCAGAAGTTGGGGACGTGTCAGAACAGGCCAGCTGTTGGGATGCAAGGGAGGATTCATGGGGTACCCACTCTGTATCAGGTTGGGCGCTGCTCATACTGCTGGCCCTAGGGATGGTGCCCAGGCTGAGCAGAAGGTTGAGGGAAGGCATCATCTGGGGGTGCAGATGATCCACTCCCTTTTCTGTGCTTCACCAGGGTTTGTGGATGACATCATCCAACCTTCTTCCACACGTGCCCGAATCTGCTGTGACCTGGATGTCTTGGCCAGCAAGAAGGTACAACGTCCTTGGAGAAAACATGCAAATATTCCATTGTAAACAAATCAAAGGAAAAGAAACCAAGAACTGAATTACTGTCTGCCCATTCACATCCCATCCCTGCCTTTTGCAATCATGAAACCTGGGAATCCAAATACCAGTAATAACTTAGAATGACTAAGTTTATTAAATTCTAGAAAGATCTCTTTTGTGCCTTACTGTAAAATTATTTATTAAAAATTTTAATTTGTATTTTTTGAGCATAAATTCAAATTTTTATGGTGGAAATCTCAAAAATCAATAAAACTGGAAAGAAAATAGTACAGATAGTGTTATTTCCTAGAGCTGATTTTTATTTCACACCTCTGGGTATTCTTTTTCTCTCAAGCTTTTTTTTTTTTTTTTTTTTTAAGCCAGAGTCTTGCTGTGTTGTCCAGGCTGGAGTGCAGTGGCCCGATCTTGGCTCACTGCAGCCTCTGCCTCCCAGGGTCAAGTAATTCTCCTGCCTCAGCCTCCTGAGTAGGTGGGGCTACAGGTGCATGCCACCATGCCCGGCTAATTTTTTTTGTATTTTAGTAGAGACAGGGTTTCACTGTGTTTCCCAGGCTCTCCTCGAACTCCTGAGCTCAGGCAATCTGCCCCTCTTGGCCTCCCAAAGTGCTGGGATTATAGGTGTGAGCCGCCGCTCCTGGTCCAGATGATAAGCTTTTAAGGCAAAGTATTTCTTAGGTTTCAGTTTATTTAAAAAATATAGATAGGACATATTTTTATAATATAGATAGGGCGTATTATGTCATATGCCCTTCCTACCACCTAATCCCCCCATGAATTGAGGATTAAATGTGATGTTTGCAATTGTAGTATATGTGTTAGCAGAACAGATGTTCAGTAAGGTATAGTACGCTATGTTGACTTAGGTTATTTCCAGAAACGTGTTCTTAACATTAAAAAAAAAAACAAAACTTTTTTTTTTCTTTTTTTGAGACGGAGTTTCGCTCTTGTTACCCAGGCTGGGTAATCGCGCAATGGCGCGATCTCGGCTCACCGCAACCTCCACCTCCTGGGTTCAGGCAGTTCTCCTGCCTCAGCCTCCTGAGTAGCTGGGATTACAGGCACGTGCCACCGTGCCCAGCTAATTTTTTGTATTTTTAGTAGAGATGGGGTTTCACCATGTTGACCAGGATGGTCTCGATCTCTTGTGATCCACCTGCCTTGGCCTTCCAAAGTGCTGGGATTACAGGCATGAGCCACCGCGCCCGGCCAAAAAAAAACTTAATTGTGAAAAATTTTAAGCCTATAGAAATGTTGCAAGAATTGTATTGTTTCCACTTCATCTAGATTCTCCAGTTGTTAATATTTTCTACATTTGCTTCATTTCTTCCATATGTATATATATAATATAGAATATGTATATTCTATATTGTTAGCTGTACTAATTGTATCAATATAATTCATAATGTATAATTATTTCTAACAGGATTATATATGATATATTCATATTATATAATTATATGAAATATATAATTATATAACATATAAAATATAATTAATTGACCCCTTTGAAAGTCAGTTGCAGATTCATGACCTTGTGTTCCCAAAGACTTGTGTGTATCTCCTAGGAATGAGGTTCTTTGTCTTACATAGCCTGCCTTTCATGATGTTGACATTTTTGAGGTAAGCTTACTTGCTGGTTATTTGGTAGAGTTTCCTTCAGTTTGGAGTGTCTGTTTCCTGAGGTTTAGATTTAGATAAGACTAACACATATTCCCTTCAGTGTATCACATTAGTAAACACATGATGTCAGTTTTTCCTGCTGTTGGTGATTGATTCTGATCACATGGTTAAAGTGGTGGCTGTAAAGGTTTTTCCACATTTTCTCTTTGGAACTGATAACTAATTTGTGAGGCATTATTTAATCTTGTCTGTCAGTAAACTTTGACCCGGGCCAGGTGAGGTGGCTCATGCCTGTAATCTCAGCACTTTGGGAGGCCGAGGTGGGCAGATCACCTTAGATCAGGAGTTCAAGACCAGACTGGCCAACATGGTGAAGCCCCATCTCTACTAAAAAGACAAAAATCGCGCCTGTAATCCCAGCTACTCGGTAGGCTGAGGCAGGAGAATCGCTTGGACCTGGGAGGCAGGGGTTGCAGTGAGCCAAGATTGTACCACTGCACTCCAGCCTGTGTGACATATCTAGATGCTGTCTCAAAAAATTAAATAAACTTTCACCCCATAATTTTAGTATTCATTGACGATTCTTGTCAAATGTTGAGTTCCTAACCCTCTCATATCTACATTTATTAGTTGGAACTCTAGCTAAGGAAGAGCTTTCTCTTCTCCTGTTTTTGTTTTCTTAGTATCATTTTGAGCTTGATTTTTTTTTTTTTTTTTTTTTGAGACAGAGTCTCACTCTGGTGCCAGGTGCCAGGTGGGAGTGCAGTGGTGCGATCTCGGCTCACTGCAACCTCCGCCTTCTGGGTTCAAGCAATTCTCCTGCCTCAGTCTCCCGAGTAGCTGGGACTACAGGTGTGCGCCACCACACCCAACTAATTTTTGTATTTTCGTAGAGACAGGGTTTCACCATGTTGGCCAAGATGGTCTCGATCTCTTGACCTTGTGATCTGCCTGCCTCAGCCTCCCAAAGTGCTGGGATTACAGTCGTGAGCCACTACACCTGGACTGGACTTAATTTTTTTTTTTTTGAGATGGAGTTTTGCTCTTGTTACCCAGGCTGGAGGGCAATGGTGCAATCTCGGCTCACCGCAACCTCCACCTCCTGGGTTCAGGCAATTCTCCTGCCTCAGCCTCCTGAGTAGCTGGGATTACAGGCACGTACCACCATGCCCAGCTAATTTTTTGTATTTTTGTAGAGACAAGGTTTCACCATGTTGACCAGGATGGTCCGGATCTCTTGACCTCGTGATCCACCTGCCTCAGCCTCCCAAAGTGCTGGGATTATAGGCGTGAGCCACTGCGCCCGGCCCTGGACTTAATTTTTTTAAAAAAATTTAATGTTACTCATTTAGATGCTTAAAATGACCCAGTTTGATTAGTAGGAGGTCCTTCAAGCTGGCTCCCCAAGTCCTTTTACTATGTCCCACTGATTTTTTTTTAGTATCTCCTTATTCTGACAAGATAATGCTCCAGGCTTACATTTTCCTTGCTCAGGCCAGGAATTAGCAATTTCCCCAAGGAGTTTCTTTAATAGGTATGTGGTAGTAGTTTCTTGTTTTCTTTTAGCAGTTATATCATTTAGAGGTTAAAATTGGCACTAGATGTCCACATAGATACTGGAGTTATCATTGCTTTGAGGCATTTCAGCAGACAACTTGGAAAATTTATGCAAATATGCATGTGTATATATATGCATGTATATGTGAATAAGTATGTTGAATTTTTAAATCATGAGTTCATACTGAAACTTTTAATCCAATAACATGGGTGCTTCTTTGTCTTCCCCCATTCTGTGTTGGTCTCTCTTACCACAATTGGTCTCTCTTACCCTGGCTCTCAGTATCCTCAGTGTATTTCAATCATTTGCTCAGGGCTACCATAGATACAAGTTTCAGAATCACTACAGCTCTATCAATAATAAACCTTCACAAGTTCAAGACTTCTTTGTAGTTCATTGTGTCTTTAAATTGAAGATAACATGATTAAGTTGCCTGAATTAGTAACTGAGTGGTTGTTATGAAAATGAATTAGTCCTTTTTGCTTGTAAACCACTTTAAAGCTTTTCCTTGGACAGGCGTGGTGGCTCACACCAGTAATCCTGAGGTGGGTGGATTACGAGGTCAAGAGATCGAGACCATCCTGGCCAACATGGTGAAACCCCATCTCTACTAAAAATACAAAAAATTAGCGAGGTGTTGTGGCACATGCTTGTAGTCCCAGCTACTCGGGAGGCTGAGGCAGGAGAATCGCTTGAACCCGGGAAGCGGAGGTTGCAGTGAGCCGAGATTGTGCCACTGTACTCCAGCCTGGTTACAGAGTGAGACTCCATTTTAATAAAAATAAAGCTTTTGGCCGGGCGCGGTGGCTCAAGCCTGTAATCCCAGCACTTTGGGAGGCCGAGGCGGGTGGATCACGAGGTCAACAGATCGAGACCATCCTGGTCGACATGGTGAAACCCCGTCTCTACTAAAAATTACAAAAAGTTAGCTGGGCACGGTGGCGCGTGCCTGTAATCCCAGCTACTCAGGAGGCTGAGGCAGGAGAATTGCCTGAACCCAGGGGGCGGAGGTTGCGGTGAGCCGAGATTGCGCCATTGCACTCCAGCCTGGGTAACAAGAGCGAAACTCCGTCTCAAAAAAAAAAAAAAAATAAAATAAAATAAAGCTTTTCCTCCACACTGTTGACTTGATTTTACTAAGTAAATCATTAATAGTTTTACCAGAACTGGAGATTAAGTTTGAGCATAAGGACCAATCATGGAGTGCTGATCCAAGACGCTCCCCTGGGCATCCTCTGCTTTCTTCTGTGGTGAAAACCCAGGGCTGACCCTCCCACTACTGATGGTTTTCCCTTGTTCCAAGCCCTTGGCTCCAGAGATCTGTAAGCACTGCATGGATAGTGAATCATTATTTCAAGGTCAACTTAATGTTTGACTGTTTATTCTCCACTTTTCCCATTTCAAAAATATTTCCCCCTACCCCACATTCCCAGTAGCCATTAAGAGTCATTCCTTTTTTTTTTTTTTTTTTTTAAAGCATCTTTCCTCTTTCCTTCAATTACCAATCCTAGTTGGGCTCTGAAGACTTGCAGCAGTCTCTTCACTGATCTCTGTGGCCTCTCACTAAGCTGGAAATCCTGTTCTCAGTTACCAGACTAACTCCAGATCCACATTTTGTTGCATTCCTCTGCTCCAGTGCCACTTCCAGAGCTCCCTGTTCTCCAGAGTCCTTAGCCTATATAGGTGGTCTTGGAGTCTGTCAATCCCTTGGTTGCCTAGTGAGTTTTCTGAGCCCACAGTTCTTGCTTTCATGTTCTCTCCTATGGTCCATACAAGAGTACATACAGGCCAGGCATGGTGGCTCACGCCTGTAATCCCAGCACTTTGGGAGGCCAAGGCAGGCAGATCATGAGGTCAGGAGTTTGAGACCAGCCTATCCAACATGGCTCTACTAAAAATACAAAAATTAGCCGAGCATCTGTAATCCCAGCTGCTCTGGAAGCTGAGGCAGGAGAATCACTTGAACCTGGGA